GGAGGGAGGGAGGGAGGGAGGGAGACACATAATCCAAAGCAGGCTCCAGGCTCTGAGCTGTCAGCACAGAGCCCGAACCAGGGCTCAAACCCAGGAACAGTGACATCGTGACCTGAGCAGAAATCAGACACCCGGGGGGAAGCCTCTTAATCACCCTCATCTACTTATCTTATCTTTCCTTATAACTATTCAACACTTCTTCCCACTCTGACAAACAGATCTAACATGCAGAAAACCCAAGAAAGGTCTGCTTCTCAGATCCAAATAGCAACATAATCTTAAATATTTAGTTTTACACAATTGAATGAATTTTGCACAAAATTCACTTTGACATTTTGATAAAAAACAATGATCTCCAAAATGAAGTATGTTGATAGTTATTTTCCTGCTTTTGGTTCCTCTCTTTTGGTTTCCTCCCTCTTGGTTTCCTGATTTAATACTGAAACTCTTCAAATGAATAAAGGAGAAGCCATAATGTATAAGGTAAACATCAAGATCCGACTCAAGTAATAATAGCTTTAACAGACTGAAAACTAGAGCATCAGTTTTGCTAACACAACAGCCTAAGGGAAAAGACTGAATATTTATTTTATTTTATTTTTTTTAAAATTTTTTTCAACGTTTTTATTTATTTTTGGGACAGAGAGAGACAGAGCATGAACGGGGGAGGGGCAGAGAGAGAGGGAGACACAGAATCGGAAACAGGCTCCAGGCTCCGAGCCATCAGCCCAGAGCCTGATGCGGGGCTCGAACTCACGGACCGCGAGATCGTGACCTGGCTGAAGTCGGACGCTTAACCGACTGCGCCACCCAGGCGCCCCAAGACTGAATATTTAAAGAGATCACCATCAAAGGACAAAATGTTGTTTAACAGAATTCTAAAAACTTGAAAGCAGCAAGGAATAGGATTGGGATATGTTCCTATATTTAGATTGAGTCTGAAGATCATGAAAACTAAAGGGAAATTTTTGTTACTCCCAAGAGTTAAGAATAGATCCTACAGAACTCTTCCACAACAGATGGTGCTAGCCTAAAAGGATACTCGTATTTTATTCTCATGTAAATTTAGAACACACTACACAAACACACACACACACAACATACATTCCCTTTACCTAAAGCAACTGTCAAAATAAAAATAGGGATATGGGGGTTAAAATCCTTAAACTAAGAGCATCAACATGGCCAACTGTCAAAACCATACCCATAAGTTCTCTAATATCTGAGAATCTAGATGTGGAAGAGACCTTAGATGGTACCAGCCAACCTTACTATTTGACAGGAAGGGAAATAAGACCTAAGGAGGTTAAACAACTTGCTCAAGATCAAAAAGAGCCAGAACTCGAACCCAGATGACTAGATTCAAAGTCCAGAGCTCTCTTTCCATTATAGCACTCCATGTCTCACTTGGGCTGAGAAATGTATTTTCTTTTACATACCAAATCAATTACAAGCTTCATTTAAAATAAAGCATGTGTTGAGTCGTTTTCTAGTGATCCATCTTTCACAGACTTATTTTAGGACCAATGGAATATCTCTGGAGAAAGAAAAAGTTAACTGAGCAGCACCAAATCCCCAACCTAATTCATTTCTTTGGAGATAACATGCTCACCAAAGAGGAATTCTATAATAAAGGAGAAGCTAATGCAGTTTTCTGGTCTGTCAGCTTCAACTTATAAGTACTCAGCATCTATAGCTGATTAGGCACTAAAGATCACATGTATACGTACTTATCTACGTAAGTTAAATATACCATTTTTAATGCTATCTTATAAAAAATAGAAACAAGAACTTTG